CAAAATTCATGCTTTCGATAAAAATAACTTTCCCATGTGAAAAAACAAAGCTATGGTTGTTCTTAAAACCGTGGATCCTAATATGCTAGACATTATAAAAAAGGTTCTACATGTTCCCACCTTTAATGAAACTAAAGATGGCGTGAATACCGATGTTATTAAGAAAACTCCTAAACATCTATTTAGTGAAGATGATAGGAACCTGCATAACCTTGACATTCGAGCTCACGTTGCAATTGGCAACTCTTATGATATCTACCATCTTATTCAGATATGTGTTTCTGCCAAAAAAATGATCAACATGCTGATTAGGGGTGAGCATTGAAACATGGTACCCGCTTTAGGAACCGAAACTGCTATGGAACCGCCGGTTCCGGTTATGCGGTCCCGGTTCCGGTTCTTAGTTTTTTGGAACCGCTAACCGCTGGGTAACCGTCAGCATATATATATATATATATATATATATATATATATATATATATATATATATATATATATATATATATATAGTAATTTAAACGACTTGCACAATTAGTTAGTTTGATTTGTTATTGTGTAATTGTTACTGTGATGTAAATTAATTAGTTTCAAATTTAACATCAAATTGATGTCTGCACATAAAAAATGTTAGTACGTCTGCATGATTAATTTTCTATCTAAATGGGTCAAACATGCTTTTTAGAATTATGCTACAGTCATCGTTCGATTCTTACTTCTTTATGCTTAATGAATAACTAGTTTGATTTTATTGATAGTTATTTTATTTGTATGTATGCAAAATATATAGGTTTTTTAAGATATTAAAAGTAAAAAAAACTAACGAACCGGGTACCCAGTTTTGGAACCGCTACCCGCCGGTTTTGGTTCCGGTTCCAATATTTTAGGAACCGGTATCACCGGTTCCGGTTTCGGTTCCAACTTTCTAGGAATCGCCAGTTCCGGTTCTAGTCAAATATGGCGGGTACCCGCCTATGCTCACCCTAATGTTGATGGTTGCATATGAAAGAACCAAAGTAGTCAAAGCCATAAGGGAGAACACTCTGAATCGCAAGTATGAGCATTTCTTAGCTCAATTGAATGAATCTATTAATCAAACTTTTAATCGTTTTAATTGCTTAATAAATGACATGAGAAGATTTGATATTTTTAAACATGCGTCTGTCTTAGTTCTTAAGTTTCTGGACTATCATGATGAAAAATGGGAAAATCATGTTGATATGCTGAAGAACAGTGAAAAAATCCACTCTATGGATTTTTACAACTTGTATGAAAATTTGAAATTTTTTCGAAGAAACAAAAGTCCTAAGAGAAGAGATAATGATAGATAACTTTAAAGAAAGATCTTCAGCGTTATTCACCAAAAAGTCAAGTTTTTTTTACTGTAAATGAAAGTGAAAAGTTAGATAATGCTGATTCTGATGAAGAATATAACGTTGAGCTTTACTCAAGTGCTGCTATGATTGTGAAGCACTATGAAAAAACTGAAAATAAAAGGTTCAACGGAGCAAGAAAGTTTCCTACATAATCTAGTTCATCGTCTAAACGACCTGACGTTGTTAAATCAAAGTAAGGTCATGAAAGCGTTTCAACTGTGGTGGCATTGATCACTTTGTCCATGACCGAAAAATCAAGAAAAGCATTCCAAAGGATGATTCCTATGAAGCAAAGTACAAGCTTTTGGTTTCGTCTATGAAAAGGCAAAACCTGGAGTCAAAGGTTCTTGTCGTTGATGAAGAAGAGTGGGTAGATGATGAAGAATCTTTAGATAAAGAGGTTAAGACTCTTCAGATGAAGAAGTTTAATTTCTATAGATGCTCTCACTACTAAACTGAACTCCATCTGAGATCAAAATATCTTATTGTCAAGATAATGGATCTTGACTCTTTTCACGTGGTTCATAATACTTTGTCCCCTGAGTTTCCACTTGTTGATTTGCGTAACTTGAAGGTTACAAAGATTACAACCTTTTAACTTGTTGGTTACAAAGATTGTGTTTCTCCATATCTTTCTTCACGGTGATGGATATGAAGCTTGGAATCCATCAGAATTATGGCTTTTTCAAAGAATAAGAACATTTATGCCATCATCTCTTGTGTTTGATTCTATATTTTGATAAGTTTGAGTGTGTGAAATACTTTGCTAATATGAATCTCATTTGTAGACAGTTTTTTGTGTGGTAAGTATCTTGAAAAGAGGAAGTACTTTTATGAGCATCCAGTTCAAAAGATACGCCAAATCGGGATTTTATTGCTGAAAAAGTTGTATGTTCCTCTTTTTGACTATTTCCTTGTTGACTGTTTCCTTTTTACTTTAATTTTTGTTTTGTACCATCTCAAAGGAACTGATGGAGAATCTCTTGATTCTAGACTGAAACTTTGACACTGGAATCTTTCTAAGGTGCTGTTTGTTTTTTTGAAGCAAAAATTCAAAAAGTCGGCGGACCACCTCTGCAAACCTCTACCGCAGAAGAGGTGGACCAAACGGCTGCAGACTGTAATAAGAAGCGTGCTTGTTTTTGTTAACATTTGCAGACTGCTGCAGACATTAAAAAATTAAAATAAATTAATTTAATAAATCGAAAATTATTTTTAAATCCAGAAAATTTAATAATTATAGTATTAAAACATTGAAATAATAAAATATAATATGTTATATGTTTTGTTACAATCTGTTTTTCCATTTTATTTTTTATTTCATAATTAAAACAAAATAATAGACACTTATGTAAAAAGAAAATAAAAAATGAAATTCTAGACACTTATTTAAAAAACAACATTAAAATTAATTAGCTTATGTAAATTAAATGAGAGAAAAAAGTTAAAGGGATATAAATTTAATGTATTAAATGTTAAAGGGATGAAAATTGAATTTAATATATAAGTAAAAGACCATAAATGTAATATTAAATATACACCATTACAAAATGTAATAATAACACGTTCAATTTTTGGAAGAAAAAAAAAGCACCGATGGTTTTTTGGGGTTGAATATTTTAGGTTTAGGTTTGAAGGGGTGGGAAGAGGTAGGAAGAGGTATAATAAGTGCTTCCCCAAGAAGCACACGGACATAGGTTTTAAGCCCCGAAGACTTCGGAAAAACAAACTGCTGCGGGATAAAAAGTACTGCACGTGTGCTGCACCGCGCAACAATAAGAGTTTTGAAGAGGTTTTTTTAAGAAAAACAAACAACACCAAGTATCTTATCAGCGAAACCATCTGTTGAGATATCATTGAGTCATCCACTCATGCTGATGATTTGGCATTGTCTATATCTTCAAATGAGATCGCTTGGTCATTCTCAAATAAAATTCCATCATAAAGCTTGGATGCTTTTATTTTAAATATTATCTTTTCATCTGACCATGTCCCTAGAAACATACTGCCTTATCTACAAGTCCAATGTTATGCCGGGATACTGCACATTTATCCTATGGCTTACCCTGATTGTAATGTCATCAGAATGAGAGATGCATGTCTGGTTCTTCAAAGACAAATGGTTACTCATGTCACCGATCTCCTAGTTTGAGATCAAACATGGTACCAATTTGAATTAACGATGAAATTTCCTTTCCCAGTTTTTACAATCATCTTCCTTGATGTTAATGATGGGCTGTCAAACCAACATTTGTTGAAACATCCTTCCCTCATGTTAATAATCTTGCTATGAAAGTGATAGCAGTTGAAACATACTTAATGCTTATGTCAATGAATTTTCGTATTAAATCATACAGTAAGAGAGTTTCGCAACCCAACGTCTAGGATCACACTATATTATCCCATATAGTGTGTGAGTCTAAACAACAAACTAATCTATAGCGGGTCATAATAATCATATATAAATAATTTTGTTGGTTTATATATAAAAAAAAATTATCCAAAAATAAATAAAAGGAAAATAATAATTTAATAATAAGTAATTCCCTCTTTATATGTTTGGCCATTTTCTTTTGTTTTCGCATACCCCAGTGCCGCCCAGCCTCTTCGCACATTTTTCCTGCAGTAACAAGTTGTAGGTTTGTGTTTGTCATCTCCCTGCGATTAATCTCCACTATCGACCACGAGTACGGAATTCAGGAAGGGAATCAAGCAGCCGTAGCGTTTCCGTCGAGCTCTTCAACCTCTTCTCTTGCAAAACCTAACAAGGTAGGTATCAATCAACGAGTTAAATTCCTTTGTCTTTATACTTACATATCTTGTATCCTACCTGTTTGATGAAAGTCCCCACTGAAACTCGAGCTCAATAGCTTACGCCCAATGGTCAAGAACTAGGTCGCGACTTGCAGAAAGAACACAATTTAACATACGAGCCCTCCTTGCCTGTAAAATGGCGCTAGATTCTCAAGTTTGCTACTCGTTGTGACACCATTTCCTTGATAATACTGAAGCTTGTAGGTTTTCATGATTTGGGGCTTTTACAAAAGTCTAATTTCGTTATTGGACTTTTGAAGTCATTACCTTTTATTTACCACTATCAAACTTTGAGAAGCATGTAGGTTTTAGTAATGGTTCTAAATTAGAAATACAGTAATAATTGCTTCTCTTAATCAATTCCACTACTGATAATTTTGGTTTCTTCTTAAGAAAATTTGATGAACAATACCACAAAGAATGGACATTTCCTCCCAATTCATGTGACTTTTGATGCAAAACATTTCATTTTATGAGCAAAAGATGCAATATGTTATGGTTACCTTTCTAACCAATTGAAACATGGTTGTTGCATGATTCATTTCAGTTGCATAATTTGGTAAAAATGTGAAACATTGTTTCATAAATTGCATATTTTTCATTTATAAAACCACTTTGTTGCATAAGTTTTGGAAAAAGGTGAAATGTTATTGCATAAATGTGTGTTAATTAACCCTCTATAAAATTACATCATGAGGGTTTTTGTCATAATTCTTTTTTTATTTTTTTTAAAATTGTTCTTACTTCCAAATTTCTTCTATTGAAGGCTTTGAAGAAAAAAGTGAACTAAATAAATCTATTAGTATTTACAAAATGCTGGGTGGGCCCGGACTTGAAACAGTCGTTGATCGTAAGTTTACATAATATTTACTCTCATATTTCTTTTTTATTTCCAATTAATTGTTATATGTATAAATGATGTTTATACATACAACATATTATAACTCTCCCTAATATTTTTTTTTTCCTTTACAGAAATCATTTCTGTTATCACAAACGATGGACGCAACATAGTGGTGAGCTCTTTTTTTTTTTTGATCAAAATATTACAATAATATTCACAAATCTAAATTGTTTTGAATTTAGGGAGTTTTGAAAGGGTTCGATCAAGCAACAAACATAATTCTTGATGAATCTCATGAAAGAGTTTATTCCACCAAGGTCAGTTTAAATCCTATTTTAATTTTTTTTTTTGTTATTAAGTCAATTGTATTTTGAAAAATCTACTAATTTATTATCATTACATTGTTATAATCTTATAATATGAAGAAATGAAAGTAAGTTGTTGTTTTATGTCAAGTAATGTTTGACTATTTCTTTGACTTTCAGGAAGGTGTTCAACAACTCGTATTAGGTCTCTACATCATACGGGGTGATAACATGTATGGCTGTTTTTTTTGAAACTATGAAATGAATTTAATATTAAATTACTTGATTAAAAAAATTGGATCTTTATTCTTTACTAATTATTTGTTTTTGTATTTTTTTTTGGAATGCAGAAGTGTTATTGGGGAATTGGATGAAGAGCTTGATGCAAGCTTGGATTTAACAGAATTAAGAGCTCATCCTTTGAAGCCTATTATTCATTGATCATTTACATGTTTTTTTTGAATATGTAGACTTAAATGTTCTATGAAAATTTTTAAATTTAGTTTTTGAATAAAATTTTTATCGGATTAAGGACACATGAAATCGAAGTGCTTAGTATGTGTTCATGATTTTTACATTTAGCTTGCGTTAAATGCTGTTTATGTTGTTTGGATAGATGATTTTTTAAAGTATTTGAGAAAATAATGACACGTTGATACACTTGGGGAATGGAAGAAAAAAAAACATATTAAATTGTTTTTTCTGCATTAAATCCAAGAATAAGTAATAATAATATACAGTTTAATAAATTAAATTTTCGTCCCTAACACCGCCATAGTCACAAATGATAGTCTCCTTACATATCTCGCCCATGTTAATTGATACAAGATACTGAATGGTTTTTTATTTTTATTTTTATTTTTTTACACCAGTTTTCGTACTTGTTTGAAGGCGTTCTCGATATTTGATTAATAATTAAACATAAGATCTGCTAATAGATTTTTACTTTCTTGTTTATGGTATAAATCAAAGTGGTTTAAACTTTAACTAATAACTAATTCCGGTTTTTGGTTCGGTGGTATTACCCTCATTCTTCGAGAATCAGAAAGATCCTTTTCAAATTTGAATTTGTTCATTTGAAATCTGAGTTCTTCTACTTCATTTTTATTTACTTATTTTATTTTCATTTTTATTTACTTATTTTATTGATTTTTATTTAATATCAATATTTTTGCCTCTCTTTTTTTATATTATTCCTTAAGTCCTATAGGTTTGATCATTTAGAATTGAACTCATTTTCTCATTGAGCGAATGGTAAATAATCAGATTGATTAAAAGCATTATGTGAAATATTCGTTTTTTTTTCACTTCCTCTATCCCATAAGTACACTTGCTATTTATTATTGAAGTTGAGGGTTCAAGTCTTTGTTTGACACATAAGAGAAATTAAAAGTGAACTAAATTTACTGTTAAAAAAATAAAAATAAAATAATAATCCCAATTTTTTAAGACCACCCCTGCTACCATATTACAATTTGTTGTTAGTTTGTTACTTGGGATTTTAAATTTCTCACAATATTGATTTTGCATCGTTATTGTCACTTCTAATTTTTCCAGAATTAGAAGTAGATTAAATTTTCCGTTTAAAAAAATAAAAATAAAATAATAATCTTATTTTTTCAGTCCATCCTTAATATAATATTACAATTTAGGGAAATCGAGTAATCTAACCTTTATATACGACCATTTTAACAAAAATAACCAACTTTGTTTTGGTAAAATGACTACTTGCTTCGAAACATAGCATTCCGGAGCATGTGGTCTTCTTTCCGAAGTATCTATTCCGGAGTTCCTATTATAACGTCAGTCTTTTTTTTTTCGTCTTATATATATATATATATATATATATATATATATGTGTGTGTGTGTGTGTGTGCGCGCGCGCGCGCTTTTGCTTAGAACCTCACATTCAATCAAGTAATTCATAATTATCTTTTATAAAACTGCTTGAAAATAAGTTTCTCAGAGAGCTAGTACGAAGAAAGCTTTAACAATCTGCATGTTTACATTCACAACCTTAGGCGAACCAACACGCATACTTACACTCACATCAAAACTAATTTGATGGATCGTTTCGAAGTTCGTTTTGTGGCTATTAGATGGGTGATATATTTGTTTTTTTTTACACTTTTCTATTGTTTCTTTAGAACATATAATGTTTCTACATCTAAAGCAATTCATTTTTGTTCAAAAAAAAAATACAGATCCATGCATTCATAGGTTGCTTCTTGCCTGTCATCTTCACAATTAGTTTTCCTCTGAGAGGGGATTATCCAAAAAACAATGTTCGTAGCGGTTGCTATCGACCGGAACAACCAGATCCTCCATATAGCATTTGGTCTGGCCATGAAAAATAATCTCTACTGTTGTACCTGGTTCCTTATGAGGTTAAGAGAAGCTCTGAGACAGGGTAGGGAAGTATCATTCATAACAAATATGAACGATGTCGTTAGTTCTTGCATAGAGCATGTATTCCCTGATTCTTATCATGGGTATACTTCTAAAAGTATGTTCAAGTATATGTGCACAAGAGGCGTCTCTTGCAGAAAATTAAAACCTTTGTTCTGGATGAATAATGTGTCTGGTTTTGAAGAAAACTTCCATCGGCTGAGCCCTGATGCTCGTGAAATGCTTGCGAACATTGGTCATGCGAGGGCAAGAGCCTATTTTCCTAACATCCGTTGGAATGTAGTCAACATTGATGCTACCAATTTTTTTTGTGCTATTGGTAAATCAACGCAATGTACCGATAATAATGCTTATTGAGACAAGTCATGACTACATTCAATAGACTTTCGATGAACGCAGATTAATGGTAGGTAAAATACCGAGTGAAATATTAAATTTATTTACATACTTGTAAAAGAGCCTTATTTGATCATATTTACTTCTCAACGAGTTTGACTACCGTACTCAAGGTGCTTCATAAAAGGATGCAAAGTCTGTTCGGCGGCAAACAACAAAGATCCTGTCACACCCCAAAACCAAGAACGGCGGAAACGTTCCGGGGTAGAGGACTTCATGTACAGTATCACAACAGTGTAAAGTAGTAAATAAGCAACAACATCATCCATTGCATTATAAGCGAAGTTTTAATACATGTGTGTTCTTTCATTGTAATAAGACACCAAAAATATACAATCAAAACAAAAGACGAGACTTTTCTGTGCTCCGTCTTCTCAAAACCTAGCCATCGTACCTGTCTACTGGTGACCTGAGAATACAAGTTATTTTGAAAGAGAGTATCAACTTTAAAGCTGGTGAATTCATAAGTATTTAAGTGTCATTGTCTTGCTTTGAAAAGCTGTTATGAATGTCATGTAAAACCTTTAAGTAAGACAGTTGATATAAGTATGAAAAACCCTAAGAAATCCCTTATTTCCTACTAGTATGAAATGTAGCCTTCTACTAACAACCGAATGTTTTGTTATGACAATGTAGTCTTCTACTAAGACCCGAATGTTTTTTTTATGAGAATGTAGTTTTCTACCAAGACCCGAATGTTTTGTTATGATAATGTAGTCTTCTACCAAGACCCGAATGTTTTGTTATGATAATGTAGTCTTCTACCAAGACCCGAATGTTTTGTAAGTAAAATGATAGTTTTTCCTTCTTTTTGACTACTACAAACAGTAATTAGTCTAACTCATCGTTTATGTGAATATATCACAAAACAAAGTAAATAGGAAAAATATAACCATGTAAGTTTTATCCCTGGATACCAGGACTAACACGCCATCGCAGTAAGCGATATGTATAACCTAATGAACATCCGAAGATTGTCAAATTGTCCTATGTAGCAGCAGCAGGTTGGAGGAAGGGTTAGTCCCGTAGTTGACTCCTAATTGTTGGGATTAAAACCCTAATTGTGATTTGATGAACAAGATGCGGAAAATAAGAACAACACAAATATGAAGATTAGGTTGAATGATCACTCGATTTATTGAATTGTGAGGAACAAATTACACTTAAGAAATAAGAATCTAACTCTACAAGAAACCTCACAACGTGGCGGCTACATTTTGTCTAACTCTTTTTAACCCTAATTGTGAATAATACATGACTATTTATAGGGAAAAGACAAGTCTTGGGCTTTTGACTTAGAATTCATCAAAGGGGCCCATTTCCATCATCCATGGAGTGCTTTGAAACCCTACAATCTCCCCCTCAAAGTATGGAATGGATGACAATGCTTTAACTTCCAAAACAAGCATCTAGCAAATAAAAAGATCTGCAACGAGGAATATATGAAGCAATCCACGAATCTTGATTCTTCAACAGTCTTCAAACACGGGCTCTAGGATATATAAATCAGGCACTGAAGTAATGTCTTTAAACTTCATTTTTGAATGTAATCCCAAAGAATCTTCATGAAAACCAAACCCGCCATAAAAACCCATTTCAGAACAAAGAAACCGAATCACTTCTTGTCTTTGAAGAGCTCCCCCTCCACGTCACAATGATCTTCAAATAAGCTAATGATATAAGCCATCAAAAAATATCATGTAACAACCCAAACTTTATGATTCGTAACGCCACTTGATCGAGAAAATACAAGAAGTCGGAGATATAACAAGTCCTTAGCAGAGCTCGATAAAGAACTTCCGCTGTAAATGATACTTCTCTGTAAAAGCTTTAGCAGAGCTCGATGAAGAACTTCCGCTGTAAAAGCTACCTTCATAATTCTACCATAAGCTTTATCAAAAATCTTCAACTTTGAAAAGTCACAAATCCAATTTCGAATGGCCATACCAAATTTCCTGACATCTATAGGCATAAGCGCCAGCTTCCTCTCAAATTTCCCCTTCAACACTGAGCACCAGGTCAGCTCCCGACCCAATAGATGAACCTTCAAAGGTTACTCATTGCATACCAAAAATGTCTCACCGACTTCCTGTTGGAAATATTTTTATGTGATTGTCACTTGAAATAAGTTAAGTATTGATTTACATTTTCTAATAAAAATTATCAAAATGTTTCTGGTTGGAAAGATCCTGAAGATTCAACAAGTGTTTGAAGAATTAGATGTTGGAGCACATGAAGTTGAACATGGAGCAGTTGATGTACACATGGAGCACTTGCTGTTGACATGGATCACTTGAAGAAAGCTAGTTGGATTGTTATGATCTTATATGGCGCATCTAGATCATCTGTGGAACATCAAGATATTGGTGGATCATCTGGAATATTAATGGCTTATCAGAAACATTTTTGGTTCATCCTCAACTCTATGGCTCAACAAGAGTTGATGGCTTAACAAGAATTCTTGATGGCTCAACTCAAGTCAATGGATCAACATGATCACATTGATGGCTCAACAAGACTGCACATGACTCATCATGTACAATGAAGGCATGTCCAAATGCTCAAAGGAACATGAATTTCGTCCATGGTCCATCATGAACATGTGGTGGTACGTCTTCAAGTTCAAGTCAGAATCCAACACTCAAGAAACAACTCAACTTGATCAACTACACTTCTGGAAGTTGATGACATCTAAGAAGACAATTGAGCATCATGATGCTAATGCTGCTAATCACTTTTTCAATGTTGATCAAGAAGGTTAAAGAATTATGAAGAATCATAACTTGGATGGAACCCTAATAGAATACTAACGGAATTGGAATATTCCATCCATTCTCCATGAAGTAGGTCAAAGGTGTCAACTGAT